TCATTTGGGTCAGCCAGGCATGTGAGATTTCCCAGCCTGAAATTACAAACAAGAACACATTTGACAAAAAAACTATAGATGTTTTTTTATTAAATATGTAAATAAATGAAATTTGTAACCATTTAKAATTAAAATGTCTCACTTTCAAACATTGACTTAAGACGTTAAAACTAAACACTGATGAAAATATGAAAATGTAGTTTTTTATTTAGTGATGAAAAATACGTAAAAAAAACAGTTTACATGTTCCGATGGTTGGTTCTTACTTCACAAAGTCCTGAGCTGTCAGGTTCTTGAAGGTCCCGATGATTTTGTTTGCAATGAACTCCTGTTTTACTAAAGTGAGGGTGTTTTTCAGTAAAACGTCCAACCCGTCCAACAGCTGCAAACAAAAACACAGGGTCCAATAGACTGATGGAGCTGCTGACTCCTTTTTTCCAGTTATTTTTAGGAATTCAAAAACATGCCAGAACATGTAATTGTGTTGAATTCATATAAAAATGTAATTTTGTAAAAGAAAAGTGCAATATTTAATCTAAATCTTGGTTTAATCAATGTTCATAATGTCTGTCTCTTTACACATAAACCCCTGTAGGAAACGTATGATTTTTTAAAATGTTTTTGATGGTGGAGAAAAAAAATAGTGTGCGAGTGATTTTTATTTTTTTTTGCTAATCAGACCGTGTTCTGGATCCTCGGGTTTCTCAGTCAGGTGTCAGAGCTCAAACAGGGCTGTTACCTGAGCAGCAGAGAGCTGTTGGAAGGTCTGGAAGGGCAGGTAGGCGATCAGGTTCCCGGTGTCCCTGATGACTGATTGAACCCCACCGGTGATGTTGGTGGAGAACAGACCTTGGCTGTACCACAAACCAAAAGCCTCTTGCTGGTCCAGGTTCATCCTGCCCAGGTTTCTGTTGATGACGTCTCGCCTGAGACGAAAAGAAGAAAAAATCATATTTTCAGGCGATATCACAAAACTTACTGAAAAATAAATAAATAAATAAATAAATAAATCCCTTTACACTCAACAATGTCTTGGCTAAAACTTCATAATCATACAAAATGTAATTACTGTTTTTGAAGTAACTCTGATTTTTTATTATTTTTTTTTAATTTGTTGATCCTTCCTACTTTTTCAAAGTCTTATTGTTAGTGAAGTGTACAATGTTTGTTGCCCAACACTAAAAGGCAAAGTCAGGCAATAACATGTTTGCCTGTGGCTGTTGCAGTCAATCTG